CACCCACCCACTCACCCACCACCCACTCACCCACTCATCACTCACCACTCACCCACTCACTCACCCACCACTCACCCACTCACTCACTCACCCACTCACTCATCCACTAACCCACTCACCCCACCCACCCACTCACTCACTACCCACCCACTCACTCACTCACTCACCCACTCACTCACTCACCCACCCACTCACTCACCCACCACCCACCCACCACCACCCACTCACCCACCCACCCACCCATCACCCACCCACCCACCCACTCACCCACCCACCCACTCACCACCCACTCACCCACCCACTCACCCACCCACTCACCCACCCACTCACCCACCTCACTCACCCACTCACCCACCACCCACTCACATCACTCATCACCCACTCACTCATCCACTAACCCACTCACTCACCCACTCACTCACACCCACCCACTCACCCACTCACCCACCACCCACTCACCACCCACTCACCCACCCACTCACCCACTCATCACCCCACCCACCCACCCACTCACCCACCCACTCACCCACCCACTCACTCACCCACCCACCCACCCACTCACCCACCCACCCACTCACCCACCCACTCACTCACTCACCCACCCACCCACTCACCCACCCACTCACTCACCCACCCACCCACCCACTCACCCACCCACTCACCCACCCACTCACCCACCCCACTCACTCACCACCCACCCACTCACCCACCCACCCACTCACCCACTCACTCACCCACCCACCCACTCACCCACCCACTCACTCACCCACCCTTTCACCCGCCCACCACTCACCTGGCCACCCACTCATCCACCCACTCACTCACCCACCCACCCCCCCTCACCCCGTGACCCCTCACCCCGTGACCCCCCCCCCCCCCCCGTGGGCGTCTCTCTGGGGCAGCCGTCCAGAGCAGGTGCGGTGCACCTGCTCTGGACAGACACACACGTACACAGTGACACACAGTGACACACAGTGACACACAGTGACACACACACACACAGTGACACACACACACAGTGACACACACTGACACACACACGTACACAGTGACACACACACACACATACACACACACTGACACACTGACACACACACACGTACACAGTGACACACATACACATACACACACACTGACACACATACACACATACACAGTGACACACACACACATACACACACACTGACACACACATACACAGTGACACACACACACACATACACACACACTGACACACATACACACAGTGACACACAGTGACACACACAGACCCACACACACACACTGACACACACACACACATACACAGTGACACACAGTGACACACACAGACACACACACACATACACAGTGACACACAGTGACACACACATACACATACACAGTGACACACAGTGACACACACAGACACACACACACACATACACAGTGACACACAGTGACACACACAGACACACACGTAGTCACAGACACACAGTGACACATACATAGTCACAGACACACAGTGACACACAAAACACACACTGACACACACACTGACACACACACACACATACACAGTGACACACACATAGTCACAGACACACAGTGACACACTGACACACACACTGACACACACACTGACACACACACACATACACAGTGACACACAGTGACACACAGTGACACACACATAGTCACAGACACACAGTGACACACACACACACTGACACACACACACACATACACAGTGACACACAGTGACACACACATACACATACACAGTGACACACAGTGACACACACAGACACACACACACACATACACAGTGACACACAGTGACACACAGTGACACACACAGACAAAGACAAAGACAAAGATCCCCTGTATAGCCTGAACAGACTGTAGGGGCAAGTGCTGTTAGCGAGCACAGACACACACGTAGTCACAGACACACAGTGACACATACATAGTCACAGACACACAGTGACACACACAGACACACACTGACACACACACTGACACACACACACACATACACAGTGACACACACATAGTCACAGACACACAGTGACACACACACACACACTGACACACACACTGACACACACACACATACACAGTGACACACAGTGACACACAGTGACACACACATAGTCACAGACACACAGTGACACACACACACACTGACACACACATACACAGTGACACACAGTGACAAACACAGACACACACATAGTCACAGACACACAGTGACACACACACACACTGACACACACACACACATACACAGTGACACACAGTGACACACAGTGACACACACAGACACACACATAGTCACAGACACACAGTGACATACATAGTCACAGACACACAGTGACACACACACATACACACACATAGACAGACACTCACTCAGTCACTCAGACACTCACTCAGACACTCACTCACTCAGACACTCACTCAGTCACTCAGTCACTCAGACACTCACTCACTCAGACACTCACTCAGTCACTCACTCAGTCACTCAGACACTCACTCAGACACTCACTCACTCACTCAGACACTCACTCAGTCACTCACTCAGTCACTCAGACACTCACTCAGACACTCACTCAGTCACTCAGTCACTCAGACACTCACTCACTCAGACACTCACTCAGACACTCACTCAGTCACTCACTCACTCAGACACTCACTCAGTCACTCACTCAGTCACTCAGACACTCAGACCTAGACACTCTCTCCCCGTGTCTCCCCGTGTCTCTCCCCGTGTCTCTCCCCGTGTCTCTCCCCGTGTCTCTCTCCGTGTCTCTCACCGTATCTCTCCCCGTGTCTCTCCCCGTGTCTCTCCCCGTGTCTCCCCGTGTCTCTCTGTGTCTCCCCGTGTCTCTCTGTGTCTCCCCGTGTCTCTCCGTGTCTCCCCGTGTCTCACCGTGTCTCCCCGTGTCTCACCGTCTGTCCCTGTGTCTCTCACCATCTCTCGCCGTGTCTCCCCGTATCTCCCCATGTCTCCGCGTGTCTCCCCGTATCTCCCCGTGTCTCCCCGTATCTCCCGTGTCTCCCGTGTCTCCCCGTGTCTCTCCCGTGTCTCTCCCCGTGTCTCCCCGTGTCTCCCCGTGTCTCTCCCCGTGTCTCTCCCCGTGTCTCTCCGTGTCTCCCCGTGTCTCTCCGTGTCTCCCCGTGTCTCCCGTGTCTCCCCGTGTCTCCCCGTGTCTCCCCGTGTCTCCCCGTGTCTCCGCGTGTCTCCCCGTGTCTCCCCGTGTCTCCCCGTGTCTCTCCGTGTCTCCCCGTGTCTCCCCGTGTCTCCGCGTGTCTCACCGTGTCTCCCCGTGTCTCCGCGTGTCTCCCCGTGTCTCTCCGTGTCTCCCCGTGTCTCCCCGTGTCTCACCGTGTCTCCCCGTGTCTCACCGTGTCTCCCCGTGTCTCTCCGTGTCTCCCCGTGTCTCCCCGTGTCTCACCGTGTCTCCCCGTGTCTCCGCGTGTCTCCCCGTGTCTCTCCGTGTCTCCCCGTGTCTCACCGTGTCTCCCCGTGTCTCCCCGTGTCTCCCCGTGTCTCCCCGTGTCTCCCCGTGTCTCCCCGTGTCTCTCACCGTGTCTCTCCGTGTCTTTCCGTGTTTCCGCGTGTCTCCCCGTGTCTCCGCGTGTCTCCGCGTGTCTCCCCGTGTCTCCCCGTGTCTCACCGTGTCTCCGCGTGTCTCCCCGTGTCTCACCGTGTCTCCGCGTGTCTCCGCGTGTCTCCGCGTGTCTCCAGGTCTCCAAGTTGTCTCAGCAGGCTGCAATGCTCCAACTGGTGTCTGCATCGACTCAGCACGTAAGTCCGCACACAGACACAGACAAAGCTCCCCCAGGTAGCCTCTATCAAGGCTGTAGGGGTAAGTGCTGTTAGTAGTAGCGAGTAGCAGCAGCAGTGTCTATGTACTACACACACAGACACAGACAAAGCTGCCCCAGGTAGCCTCTAGCAGAGCTGTAGGGGCAAGTGCTGTTAGCTAGCGAGTAGCACCGACTATGATACACACACACAGACAAAGCTGCCCCAGGTAGCCTCTAGCAGAGCTGTAGGGGCAAGTGCCGTACACACAAACCAAGCTGCCCCGTGTCTCCCTCTCCTCCTCCCCTCCCCCACAGGGTCAGACTCACACCGTCGCTCTCTCCCAGGGCTCCCAGCCCCTGGTCGTCTCACACAGCCGCTCCATCCAGCAGCTCAACCAGCAGATACTGCACGTGCAGCAGCTGCAGCTGCAGCTGCAACAGCAGCAGCAGCAACAGCAGCAGCTGCAGCAGCAACAGCAGCTGCAACAGCAGCAGCAGCAGCAGCTGATCGCCAGCCTCGCACCTCCACAGCAAATCCATACACCCCCGTTGCAGCTGCAGCAGCAGCAGCAACGGCAGCAGCAGCTACAGCAACATCAGCTGCAGCTACAGCAGCAGCTACTGCTGCTGCAGCAGCAGCTACAGAAGCTGCAGCAGCAGTAGTAGCAGCAGCAGCAGTAGCAGCTACATCAGCTGCAGCAGCAGCAGTAGCAGCAGTAGCAGCTACGTCAGCAGCTACATCAGCTGCTGCTTTGACTTTAGCCTCCTAGTCTAGCTGGGTGCACCTTGACTTTATGCTCTGTGACTGCGCTTTGTACACTTGCAGTAGTGGTAGTAGTGGTGGTAGTAGTGGTGGTGGTAGTGGTAGTAGTGGTAGCAGTAGTGGTGGTAGTGGTGGTAGTGGTAGTAGTAGTAGTGGTGGTGGTAGTAGTAGTGGTGTAGTGGTGGTGGTAGTAGTAGTGGTGTAGTAGTGGTGGTAGTAGTAGTGGTGGTAGTAGTAATAGTAGCAGTAGTGGTAGTAGTAGTGGTAGTAGTAGTAGTGGTGGTAGTAGTGGTGGTAGTAGTAGTGGTGGTAGTAGTTGTGGTAGTAGTAGTGGTGGTAGTAGTATTAGTGGTGGTAGTGGTGGTAGTCTTTGTAGTGGTGGTGGTGGTGGTAGTAGTGGTAGTAGTAGTGGTGGTAGTAGTGGTAGCAGTAGTGGTGGTAGTGGTGGTAGTAGTAGTGGTAGTAGTGGTAGCAGTGGTAGTAGTAGTGGTGGTAGTAGTAGTGGTGGTAGTGGTAGTAGTAGTGGTGGTAGTAGTGGTGGTAGTGGTAGTAGTAGTGGTGGTAGCAGTAGTAGTGGTGGTAGTAGTAGTGGTGGTAGTGGTAGTAGTGGTGGTAGTGGTGATAGTGGTAGTAGTAGTGGTGGTGGTAGTAGTAGTGGTGGTAGTAGTGGTGGTGGTGGTGGTGGTAGTAGTGGTAGTAGTGGTAGCAGTAGTGGTGGTAGTGGTAGTAGTAGTGGTAGTAGTATAGTGGTAGTAGTGTAGTGGTAGTAGTAGTATAGTGGTAGTAGTATAGTGGTGGTAGTAGTAGTATAGTGGTGGTTGGTGGTGGTAGTAGTGGTATAGTGGTAGTAGTGGTAGTGGTGGTAGTAGTGGTAGTGGTGGTAGTAGTATAGTGGTGGTGGTTGGTGGTGGTAGTAGTGGTGGTAGTAGTAGTGGTGGTAGTAGTAGTAGTAGTGGTGGTAGTAGTGGTAGTGGTAGTAGTAGTAGTGGTGGTAGTAGTAGTAGTGGGTAGTAGTGGTAGTAGTAGTTGGTGGTAGTAGTGGTAGTAGTAGTAGTGGTAGTAGTAGTGGTAGTAGTAGTGGTAGTAGTAGTAGTGGTGGTAGTAGTGGTAGTGGTAGTAGTAGTAGTGGTGGTAGTAGTGGTAGTAGTAGTAGTGTGGTAGTAGTAGTAGTGGTGGTGGTTGGTGGTGGTAGTAGTGGTGGTAGTAGTGGTAGTAGTAGTGGTAGTGGTGGTGGTAGTAGTAGTGGTGGTGGTAGTAGTAGTGGTAGTAGTGGTGGTAGTAGTGGTGGTAGTGGTAGTGGTGGTAGTAGTAGTGGTAATAGTGGTGGTGGTAGTGGTGGTAGTAGTAGTGGTAGTGGTGGTGGTAGTAGTAGTGGTAGTAGTGGTGGTAGTGGAGGTAGTAGTGGTGGTGGTAGTAGTAGTAGTGGTAGTAGTAGTAGTGGTGGTAGTAGTGGTAGTAGTAGTGGTAGTAGTAGTAGTGGTGGTAGTAGTAGTGGTGGTAGTAGCAGTAGTGGTGGTAGTAGCAGTAGTGGTGGTGGTAGTGGTAGTAGTGGTGGTAGTAGTAGTAGTGGTAGTAGTAGTAGTGGTAGTAGTAGTAGTGGTGGTAGTAGTGGTAGTAGTAGTGGTAGTAGTAGTAGTGGTGGTAGTAGTAGTGGTGGTGATGTTGGTTGTGGTGGTGGAGGTGGTGGTGGTGGAGGTTGTGGTGGTGATGGTGGTGGTGGTGGAGGTTGTGGTGGTGATGGTGGTGGTGGTGGAGGTGGTGATGGTGGTTGTGGTGGTGATGGTGGTGGTGGTGGAGGTGGTGATGGTGGTGATGGTGGTGGTGATGGTGGTGATGGTGGTGGTGGTGGAGGTGGTGATGGTGGTTATGGTGATGGTGGTGGAGGTTGTGGTGGTGATGGTGGTGGTGGTGGTTATGGTGATGGTGGTGGAGGTTGTGGTGGTGATGGTGGTGGTTATGGTGATGGTGGTGGAGGTTGTGGTGGTGATGGTGGTGGTGGAGGTGGTGATGGTGGTGGTGGTTGTGGTGGTGATGGTGGTGGTGGTTGTGGTGGTTATATTTTAGACGCCCATTTCCACGTCTGTGTGGTTGTGGTTGTTATTGTTGATGATGTGGTGGTGGTTGTTGTTGATTTGGTTGTGGTTGTTGTTGTTGCCTCTGTCCTCCGCGTCGCCCCCCGCCCCTCTCGCTCTGAATGCCCCCGGGGCACTGAGGGCGCCTGAATGCCCCCGGGGCACTGAGGGCGCCTGAATGCCCCCGGGGCACTGAGGGCGCCTGAATGCCCCCGGGGCACTGAGGGCGCCTGAATGCCCCCGGGGCAATGAGGGCGCCTGAATGCCCCCGGGGCAATGAGGGCGCCTGAATGCCCCCGGGGCAATGAGGGCGCCTGAATGCCCTCGGGGCAATGAGGGCACCCGAATGCCCCCGGGGCAATGAGGGCGCCTGAATGCCCCCGGGGCAATGAGGGCGCCTGAATGCCCCCGGGGCAATGAGGGCGCTGAATGCCCCGGGCAATGAGGGCGCCTGAATGCCCCCGGGGCAATGAGGGCGCCTGAATGCCCCCGGGGCAATGAGGGCGCCTGAATGCCCCCGGGGCAATGAGGGCGCCTGAATGCCCCCGGGGCAATGAGGGCGCCTGAATGCCCCCGGGGCAATGAGGGCGCCTGAATGCCCCCGGGGCAATGAGGGCGCCTGAATGCCCCCGGGGCAATGAGGGCGCCTGAATGCCCCCGGGGCAATGAGGGCGCCTGAATGCCCCCGGGGCAATGAGGGCGCCTGAATGCCCCCGGGGCAATGAGGGCGCCTGAATGCCCCCGGGGCAATGAGGGCGCCTGAATGCCCCCGGGGCAATGAGGGCGCCTGAATGCCCCCGGGGCATCTTGACGCTGTTGAGGCGGCCACGTTAAATCGGTAGCAGAAATAAATAAATAAAGACGCCCTCGGTTCACTCGGCAGTGCAACGACTCCTTTGTGATGGTGGTGATGGTGATGATGGTGGTGGTGATGTTGGTGGTGGTGGTGGTGATGGAGGTGGTGATGGAGGTGGTGGTGATGGTGGTGATGATGGTGATGGTGGTGATGGAGGTGGTGGTGATGGTGGTGGTGGTGATGATGGTGATGGTGGTGATGATGATGGTGGTGGTGATGGTGGTGGTGATGGTGGTGGTGGTGATGGAGGTGGTGGTGATGGTGGTGGTGGTGGTGGTGATGATGGTGGTGATGATGGTGGTGATGATGGTGGTGGTAGTGGTGATGGTGGTGGTGATGGTGGTGATGGTGATGATTGTGGTGATGGTGGTGATGGAGGTGGTGGTGGTGGTGATGGTGGTGGTGATGGTGGTGGGCGTGATGATGATGGTGGTGATGGTGGTGGTGATGATGGTGATGGTGGTGATGGTTGTGATGGAGGTGGTGGTGATGGTGGTGGTGATGGTGGTGATGGTGGTGGTGATGATGGTGATGGTGGTGATGGAGGTGGTGGTGGTGGTGATGGTGGTGGTGGTGATGGTGGTGGTGATGGTGGTGGTGATGATGGTGATGGAGGTGGTGATGGTGGTGGTGATGGTGGTGATGACGATGGTGGTGATGGAGGTGGTGATGGAGGTGGTGGTGATGGTGGTGGTGATGGTGGTGATAACGATGGTGGTGGTGATGGTGGTGATGGAGGTGGTGATGGCAAGCTGTGATCAATCCACCGCTTGGATGAAGGAGTACAACAGCCGCGGCCGCCATCTGTGACTGCTCCCGCGACAAACTCTTAGTTCTTTCGGTAAAGTCACCGTGTAGGTGAAAAATGAAATTAAAATTAATAAAAACACAATAAAATCACGACGTTTCGGAGGCAACACAAGCTTCCGTCTTCAGGTGAAACTGTCACAGCAAAATATCTGCATCAAGTGAAGAGAAGTGCCAAGAGGTTACGACCTTATATACTGGTCAAGGGGGCAGGAGGAGTTGTGAAATGGCATCTCGGCATCTCTTGAGGAAGGCCGGCGTCTCGAGAAGCTGTGACTTCTTGTCTCGTTGTCTGTTAAACATTCTCACAGACAGGTGCAATTCTTCCCCGTAGAGGGCATTAATTCTAGATTTGAAGCTTTCGTGACTGCAAGGATTCATACTCTTAGTTCTTTCGGTGAAGTCACCGTGTAGGTGAAAAATGAAATTAAAATTGCTCCCGCGATGTTGCACGTCCAACCAATCAACCGGCACCCAACGCGAGCGATGAAGTCGACGCTGCTTGCCTGTGAGTCTCTGTGAGCGTCGCTGAGTCTCCGTCCGAAGCTCTCGGGGGGGACGGATAATTTCAGTTTGAGGCCGAGTATTTTATTCTACGGGGTTCTGCGTAACTCTACACGCTCACACATTTGAGCATTTGCGGGGGTCCACGTGTTGCAAGCGTGGAGAAGGGAGGGCGCCACCATTGCAGAGGAGAGCAACAGACGACCAAGGTAGCTTCCAGGGGCGGTTTCTTCATTAGGGCGATTGGGCGACGCACCACCAATGTCATTCAACCACAGAGTCACGCTAGCCGTCACTGTCAGCCTCTGGATATAGTCCAATCAGCGTCATGTCACGTTCTGTGGAGTACCGCCTCTTTTTGGGCGATTTCACTCCGGCTGAGAATCGCCCCGAGTGGCCCCATAAACTTACATTCAAAGATGTTTTTTTCCGAACGGCGGGCGCTCCAATGCATTCTCTATGGCTTCCGGGAGGGCAAGCCCCAACGTGCTTACGTCATCATACGTGCTTACGTCATCATACGTAAGCACGTTTCATCCAACAATATAATTTATCGCTACCGAGTGGAATCTTTAATAAAATAAACTTGAGTGGTTTGTTTTAATAGTGAGTATATAAACAAACAAGATGTATTGTAAGAGTCACTTTATTTTTCATTAATATTAAAGAAGTGAAGTTGCCTTTACATGCTTAAGCTGTTAATTTATCCATTGCATGGGTGGACCTTAATCATCCAGACATTTGCCCCCCCCCTGAGAGATTTTGCAGGAGCCGCCACTGGTAGCTTCCATACAGCAGCGTGACGCAGCCAGTGATGCTGAGCGAGACCTCTGCTGTCAAAGTCGTGAGCACGTCGTGAGCACGCTGCCCAGCTGTGGGGAGCTCTCCACTCTCTCCACGACTGCCCCATCACCAATTGGGAGTTGTGCGGGTGGAGTGTCTCTGATGGTACAAAATACCCATCACCGATTATGAGGTGTGCGGGTGGAGTGTCTCTGATGGTACAAAATACCCAGGCAGGTGCTTCGTTTTTGTGGGGCTGATGGTAAGAACCCCCACCGCTCCGAGTTTGCTTTTTTTTTTAAATCCTTTATATTAAGTTCGCTTGCTTGCTTGCTTACGACCGTGCAAACCTTTCGGTCGTTTTTTAACCCACTTCCCGTGATCCAATCGAGCTGACATTTTGCACACAGACTCGTTGTGCGAGACAATTAATGTTCGTGAAAATTTTTTTTCCAAAATTTTACACTGTTTAGGGAAAACAAATTAAATATTTAATTACCAATTGTTTAATACTGGCAGACAATCATCTGACCCATAGGTGGCAGCCATCTCAAGCCAGAGGACGAGAGGACTCTAGCCGCCACGCATATAAAGGATTTATAGTGAAGAACTTAGTTTTTACGGGTTATACTTTTTGTCAATATAAATAACATGAATTTACATTGAAGCGCGTTTGTAAGTCGGGGTGTTCGTAAGTGGAGGAGTTCATTGACAGACTGA